TAATAATTTAATTTCAATGTTGTTTTTTCAATAGCCAATCTTGCAATAATTTCAAAGAGTTAGAATCCAAGAGAGACAATCCAAGAGAGATAATTTCTAAAGGATATTTAATAAAATCTGCTATGATTTTATACTTGTCAGTTAGAAACTCAATCAAGAATAGTAATTTATATTTAAGAAGAAATTGGGGTAGAGTTTGGATTTCTGGTTAAATGTTTTGGCTTTCTGCCAGGAGGCATCAAAATATTACAATACTATAGTCTTCTTGGTATTGTTATAGCAAAGTAACAAGGTCACCTGGTGCAGTAATATACTTTATAAATATATACAGGGTAAACGTGAAAGTGTATACTCTACTTCACAGTAGGAGGCAAATTGTTCAAGATAATAACAGTTTATAGAAATGATAATATTTATTAATAACAAGTTCATGGTAATATTCTTTACTATAAGAATAACCTAAAGAGAGAATATTACACTATACAAATATAAGAAGAGTAATAAGAGTAGTTAGATAAGACTAAATTCTATAAGAGAGTAGGGAACTCTAACTTGAATAAAGGGGCAAAAACTCCTTTTTTATAACTTTTTCATATATAAGAGGTGTAATAGTATAGCTGCCAAACTATATAGAGATACTAAAAAGTACTTGTGCAGAGATATTGAGAAATACCATATGAAGGTACTAAGAGATACTATATAGAGGTACTGAGAGGTACTCATGTGAAGGTACTAAAAAGTACTTGTGTGAAGGTACTAAGAAGTATTTGTATGAAGATACTGAGAGGTACTTGTATAAAGATACTGAGAAGTACTCGTGCAGTATTATTGTGCTTCATTTGTCTAGCCAATAGAGTTTCTATAACTACTATAATAAATAAAATATAATATACTAATATAATGCTAATACTAAATAAATATAACTAATATATAATAATACAAATAATAAAATATAATCTATTATGCTATGCTAACATTATGTTGTGTTTACAACCTACTTTGTAACAGTATTTACTAATACAGGATTATATATATTAGTTTGAGAGATAGCTATTTGTGTAGTAATTGAATTTATAGTTGATCTTTAGTATAACTAGGCAATATAGAATTATAAGATTATAATATAAATAAATAACTATTTAATCTAATTTAAGCAAATTTGAGAATAGTAAGGGTTAGGGTAAGCTTATAGTTTATATTAAAGTTAGCTTAGAGTTAGGGTTAGAGTTTTTTTATATTATAATCTTATAATATTTCTATATTGCTCAGCTATACTAAAGAAGATCCAGATTTATTAGTATTGTAGCCAAATGTGCTGCAGTAGATATAGTAGTTATGTTAGACATTTGTTCAGTATAAATACTATAATAATGCATGCTCTTATTTCTCACTATAATACAAACCAAAAAAGGAAATTTTTGTATATAGATCATAAGATCAGGTACAACATGAAGTTTGTTTGTATTTGTTGGCATTTTTCAAAAAATCACCAATAACTCAAAATCTTGTCTAAAAAACCACCTCTTGTATTCTAACAAAAAAAATTTCTTGCAAAATTTTAGTATAAAATCTATTCTTTCTAAACTTTGAAGTTAAAGCAAATTTACAGTAAATAGAATATTTATAATTTCATGTGATTTGTATCACAATAAGAAAGAAGTAAATCTCTGTAATAATTATCTATATTCAATACCATTGCTTTTTCTGCATATTTAGCAAGTGCAGAATCAACAATTTTGGCATGTTCTTCAGATGCATTAGTCTTATATCATGCAACTAAATGAGACATAACAGTTATACCTAAATCTGCAAGTGTGTCAAGAGTAGTGTTAAAAATGCCAGTTGAATCTAAATATATAATCAAATCCCTTTTGGCATTATTTACAAACTTATTTCTAATTCTGCAAAAAAAATAGCAAATAAATAAAAGCTATTTTTTCACCCTTATTCTTGTTTCTTCATTTTTTGACAGTGGGTTAGATGAAGCATATAACTTCTCAAAAAAAACCTTTAGCTTTATATCTTTCTTTACCATAATATTCTAAATTCATTAAATGAATATATTGCTAGCTTTTTTTCTTTTTTTTCACAATTGTATAAAATATCTGTTATCATCTCTATTGCTTCAGAAAAGGACAAGAAATTAGAGTTATTAGTATTATCAACTTTAGATTGCCCTGAATCGTTAACACTCTCAACTTCAAACACATCTGTTTCAAGTTGTCTTGCATTGGCTTCAGCATGCTGTTGGAATTTAACTGCTATTTTATTCACAATTCCATTATAGCAATTTAAACAAATCGTATCGCCTATTTGGACATAAGAAGGTAAAATATTGTTAGCTTGTCCTTTTGTAATAACATTTTCAGTCACCGTCTTCCAGTGGTTTGACTTCATGGCTCTGTAATTCTAATACTTAAAGGCATTTTTGTCTTCTAAGTAAAGTAAGTGAGGAGGCAGATTCTTTTCGGATTCTTTTGCACAGTGAATATTAACGTTCTTTTAAAACTAAGAATGACTTTTACGGCGATTTTTTTTTTTTTTAGTGAAACGTTAAGTTCTTAAAAAGTACTCTAAAGTGTATAAATATAAGTTACCCGGGCAATTGATCTACATCAGACTATGAGCCCTAACCCTAAAGTTAATGAAAACGATATGTCACGTGATCTGCCCAAATTAAGTAAAAAGTCGTAATTGTCCAGTATATTTTTCACGTGAATATGAAATGTGTGATCAACCAACCACGATCCTATATATGTTTCCCGAACGCCAATATTTTGTTAAAAATACAAACACTTATGTCTTCTGAACGAACGATCCCAGCAGAACTGCAGCAATATATAGATCAAGCGGTTTCGAAGTTACCTGGTAACAGTAGCTGGTCATTTATACAAGGTTTTTTGTTGGGTCAGCTTACCATTGTAATTTTGATTCTCGCTTTTATAAAATTCATGCTGTTGGAAAAAGCCACCAAGCAACAAAAGGTTCGAAATATATTTCATTTCTGTGGTTTCAACTGGGCAGATCAATAAGCTATAACCCAAGAAATAAATGTTTTATAGCGTCGTCTTCCCATACAAACGCCAATTAATCCGAAGACAGCTTCTGTATCGCCTGCTTCGACCATTCTTTCTAAAACGTTATATGATCCTAAGTATCATCTACCTGAATCAACTGATTGGCTTAATGTTCTGCTAGCACAGGCTATATATCAATATAGAGAAGAAGCGAAGACAGACAATCGTTTAGTACGTTTTGTTGATGAAATATTGAATGATGGTGTAAAGCCCGATTTCATGGTGAGTATAAAATTGATAAATAATGATATTAATCGATATCTGTACGTCTGCACGGAGAATTGACTTAACAGAACACTTTAAGGCAATTATTCATGATCGGATATTTCTATCTCTAGCCGCGGCTAAAACAAAAATATGATTAAAAATTAATCAGGGGCCGATTGAAGTTACACGTCTAGACATTGGTGAAGAATTTCCTATCTTCAGTAATGCTCGAATACGACCGACTGAGACAATGAGCAGAATGGTAAATAATATACTTTAAAAACCAATGAATTCAATTTTTGAGCTTTTATCGGTAATATATTTAAACTATTTCGAATTCAAGCGAGTCGAAGTTGACTGTGATTTCAGCGACCAAATTACTCTTGGTGTAAATACTCAAATTCTCATCAATTGGCCAAAACCACGGATAGCGGTATTACCCATTTCGCTAGTTCTTTCTATTGTCAAATTTGCTGCAACGGTAAGAAATCCATATGCAAAATATTCCTTGTTATTTTGAAAATACTAATAGAAAGTATAATTATTTTTTCAATTAGATCACTTTGGAAATAGTGGTGAATTCAGAGTCTTCCTTTATCGTTGTCTCATCGCTTCCGGACTTCGTACTGGAGTTTAACGTCCAGTCATTAATAGGTTCACGATCAAAACTTGAAGACGTGCCTAAAATCACACACATGATCACATCCAAATTACGAAATGCATTTTGTGAGAAATTCGTGTATCCGAATTCTACAAAATTCAGAATGCCAGACTTATGGGCACTACACAAAACTAGTTAATCTATCGGTGAAATCCGAATCTGACCTCAATAGCTGCTCAACCGCTGACAATATAATAAATAAAAATATTATTCAAAATCATATATTCGGATATTTATACACAATTAAATTAGAAAATTGTTATTTATCAAGTAGACAGATATAATAAGCACGCTGGCTGGATGGAAACAAAATTGATTATCATTTTACGCTCATAACATCCGCCTAATTAGCCAGTCAAATCGTAAAATCAGACGATGTGAAATTCAAAAAACTTGCAAAAAAGGATGTATTAGTTTAGAATCAGGGTAAAGCTTCATAGGCAGACTTTCGTATGATTGGCTGTTTAAATCAATTTAATTTTACATTATTCATACAGTTTAAAGTACTTTTTAAAAAAAAGTAAACTACGAAGAATAAACAAAAAAGAAGTATATAGAAAATTTTATTAAGGTTGTAGGACTCCACTATTAAAAATAATCAAAATTCTTTTTCGTTTTAAAAAAGTTAGCATAATAGCGACTTCTTAAAATTAGGTTATCACCATGCTAACTTCTCTAAAACAAAAAAGAATTTTGATTATTTTTAATAGTGGAGTCCTTAAAACTTTCTATATATTCTTTTTTGTTTATTCTTCGTAGTTTTCTTTTTTTTTAAAAAGTACTTTAAACTGTATAAATAATATAAAATTAAATTGATTTAAACAGCCAATCATACGAAAGTCTGCCTATGAGGGTAAAGCGGTAACAAACTCAAATAATTTTTTTAGATGCGGAGTTAGAAAGTATTTGTTATTCAACTTACGACATAATCAGCCAATCATTACTAAGGTCCCATGTTTTACATTTAATTTTAGTGACTTAGCAATAATATATTTTATTTTATTATATATTCACAATTAAGTAACAGTCTTTTAACATAAAAAAATTATATATTATTACAACTTGTTGAAGGAAACTACATCAACGCTTTGAACGTGATCTTCAAATGCAGTGATTTGTTCTTCTAAATCATCTATATAACAATAAAAGAAATAAACGAAAAATAGTTATATATATTGCATAAATTTAATAATTATAACATAACATAAATTCTCACCAATGCCAACTTTGTCATCTTCAACTACACACGAAATTTGTAACTTTTTGATGCCATAGCCAATGGGAATCAGTTTGGAAGCACCCCACACGAGCCCATCAATAGTGATATCCCTCACAAGTTTTTCCATTTCAACCAAATCAGTAGTATCTTCCCAAGGTTTGACATCTAAACAAACCATACTTTTAGCAATAACCTTTGGTTTAGCTGCCTTTTTCTTGTGATACGCCTCTAGAAGTTCAGCTTTACGTCGTTCTTCTTCTGGATCTGGTTCCTCATCATCAGAACCGAACAAGTCAACATCGTCATCATCGTCATCCTTTTTTTCCTCCCCAGGTAGCGAGGTGAATTCTTCAGAGTAGGAAGCAATATGATTATACCATCGTACGACATGTGGGAACTTTACATGGTCGGGAACCTTATGGGCAAGTTTTTTGAATACAGATACATCGGCTTGAGTTGGTTCATAGCTACGAATCAAATGCATAAATTATGTTCATTATTTGGCTCTGTTCAAGCAAAATATTAATATCTAAAACATAGATCAGAGAATTGAAATGTAGATTTTCATTCATAAACGGAAGATTGTCCGCTCAGAAACACGGACCAATTATCATCAGAAGATAGGATAACCTTATATAAGTATAAAAAGACAGAACAGAACAATAACACTACCCTTCGATATATGAATGTTCCTCCAAAAATGTATTAAGTTCCGTAAGACCCTTATCACTGTTAAGTTGAGTGAAAGCCTACAACGCAAGGGGCATAGTTAACTTTTTTTATCTTACAGTAAGCCTTTGACGGATACCTACCATTTTGTTAACGTAAGAAAAGCCTTTAAGAATGTTAAAAAAAAAACTTGGTTACTAGAGATAATTTAAGTTATTTTTTATTGGCCAAATTTCTAGTCACGTGTTTAGCGTGGAAGTTGATCAGTTTTCAGGATCTAAGATCCGAATACCGGCATGACATACCGATGTAATAAAATTGAAGATCCTATCGAAAGTTTTTCTCAATAACTACTTGATTAAATTCGGTAAAAATTTTTTATTTTATTCTATAGTACAGTAAGTTAAGAAAAAAAGGATTATTGAATTTGGTTCAGTAGTTGATGAGAAATCATCGCGTAAAGATTTCTCAACAACCAATTATCCAAATTTGAGGGTTCATAGAATTAAAATAAAAAAAATTTGATCGAATTGAATAGCTGGTTGTTGAGAAATATTTAGCCACAGCTTCTTTTTTAAAAACACCAAAACTTTGAACGATTACTTGGCGCTTACCTAATCGAATTCTACCAATTTTTTTCATTATAACTCTATGAGTCATATACAGTAATTCAAATAAAAAAAATTGATTAAATTTGGCCAGGTAAGTGTTGGGGAATCTTTTTTCAAAAAGAAAGCTGTGGCTAAATTTTTTTTTTAGCTTTTAATGAATATTTTTCGACAACCAGCTATTCAAATTCGATCAATTTTTTTTTATTTTACCCATCAAATTGGATAGTTGGTTATCGATAAATCTTCAAATAACAATCTTGACAATCAACTATCCGAATTTGATGGAAATTTTTTATTTTAATTCCAGAATAAAATAAAAAATTTTGATCGCTGGTTGTCGAAAAATATTCATTAAAAGCTAAAAAAATTGGCCGCAGCTTTCTTTTTATAAGCACTTAAATTTTGAACAAAGGTTGCCTAAAATTCAATCAATTTTTTTATTTTAATTGTATGAACTTATAGAATTATAATAAAAAAAAAATTGATCGAATTTGATCAAGTAATCTTTGTTCAAAGTTTTGGTGTTTTTAAAAAAGAAGCTGTAGCCAAATTTTTCTTTAACTTTTAATAAATATTTCTCGACAACAGCTATTCAAATTTGATCAAGAAAAAAATTTACTTGATTTATTGATATTTAAAGTTTTTTTTTATATTTTCGTGATGATTTTTCATCAACTACTGAACCAAATTCAATAATCTTTTTTTTTTATTTTAACTTTACTATACTATAGAATTATAATAAAAACTTTTTACAGAATTTAATCAAGTAGTTATTGAGAAATCATTGCTAGAAGTTTAAAAAACTTTTAAATTTATTATGTTGGTAGGTGCAAAATTACATGAGCACAAAAGTTATACCCTAGAATTACCCTCTTGATTAGGGTTCCTATTAAATCAAATCAAATCAAACTTTTGCCAAGTTTGGGTTCGATTTGATTTTCAAATTAAATTCAAACTCAAACTTTTTTAAAAATTAAGTTTGGTTTGAGTTTGAGCTTAAACTTTTTAGTTAAATTTGATTTGATTTGAATTTGATTTCAAAGTTTGTCAACCTATTTGAGTTTGAATTATATATATAATATATAAATTTAGGTATTATTTTTTATACCCCCAGATTTATTATTCATACCCTCTCTGCAGATTTAATTTTTTTTTAAACTTTAAACAAAGACATCTTGGTAACTACCAGGCCAAATTTAACAAACATTTTTCTTTGAATTTTATAGATTTGTAGAATTCAAATAAAAAAAAGTTTATTGAATTTGGCCTAGTAGTTGCTAAGATATCATTGCTCAAAGTTTAAAAAAAATCAAAACACCTATCAAAACAAACTATACAAAATTTTTTTTAAACTTTGAGTAATGATATCTTTGCAACTATTAGGCCAAATTCAATGAATTTTTTTTATTTGAATTTTACGAATTTGTAGAATACAAATAAAAAAACATTTATTAGTGATGATATCGGCTTTTAGTAAGCTAGCTCAGCTGTGGCTTTTGAGCTAAGCCACTGAGCTGCTGAGCCAGCTTGAGCTGATATTACGTGATTCAATACAAATATAATTAAGTAAAAATAAAAAATTTAATGTGTCAAATGGCATTTAAATAGTGCTATTCAATATATCAAATTTTTTATTTTTTACTAGTGTAAGTTTGTAGTACATTTGGGCTAAGTGCTGCGAAAAGAGACCAAATCAACATTTTGTAAATCATGAGATAAACTGTAATTTGTGTTTTGAACACAACAATGATTGACATATATCTGATCTAATTTAGACATTGGGAAAGTGGGTTGTATAACTAGTAAATTTATGAAAATTTCTAATAAGTGCTGAGAAAAGAGATGAAATTAACAAAATCAAGATATTATTGGCCGACACAATTTTATAAAATGCTTTTTTTTTTTTTTTTTTTTTTATTCTTTGATAAGTCTTGCCGTGACTTGATTTCTTAGTTTAAGTACATATAAATCATATACTGTATAATTATTTCTAAGACTAAACAAAAGCCCGACCTCACCTGGTTGCCTATTCAGATACCTAGATACAACTCATCACACTGGCTTACGGATGTGCTAGAAAACAGTTCTTTTTATGAACTTGTCCAAAAGGAATTTACACCTTTTTGTATCCAATTTGAAACCGCATCACCCCATGTTGTGTATAACTTCATTTCTTTTGCCATGATTTCTCTTCTTTTTCTTTTAATATTTTTTCTTCTCAGCCTAGGGATGGAGGTCGTGTTCTTTTTTGGCTTAGGAACTTTAACTTTCTTTTCTCTTTTATCACGTCTGTTTATATTATAAGCTTTTTCCCAATCTGCGAGTTTACTACATCTATTCTTCCAAATAAAGTTGTAGAAACTGTTCTAGATTATATGAGCTATAATCTCGATCATTCTTGAAGTCGTTTTTGGTGATTCCAGAAGATTCTTGATTTCATCGAAAAAGTTTACTGTTGTTAGATCTTTGATCTATAACCTACGCTTTTCTTGTTTATCAGTTTCCATTTCTCCAATTAGGATCTTGTGCAAGGAGGTTTTCGGACACTTAAATCTTTTCTCTGCTGTAAGTTTCGACCATGCTAAGTCAATCATTTTATCCTCGATGTCTTGCCACATCTCTTTGTAGTAAGAACATTCGGCTAGATGATCTTGCATTTTAACAATATTACTATTACACACTATACAGTTACTACTAGTGTATATATCGGGTCTTCTTGTTGAAAGCGTCCGCAGGACTAGAAGGTTTTCTGAAAGGCATTTAAGTTGTGTAGCAAGTTGCTTGCTTTTTTGCAATAAATCGCATCTTGCTCCATTTAATCTTGACATTCTTTTCTAATATGTATGCCAGTCTAGCTTAGAATTATTTGAATTGGGTTCTAGAGCTAGTATTGATTTAGTTAATCTCCAGTTTGTGCCGTTCTAGATTTTGAAAAGTTTCTTTAGAAAGGGTCTAGTTGCTTTTTTAATTCTATACTCTTCTCAGTAAAGTGGAAACGTAATTCTTGTATTTATATCTGCATATATATTTGTCACATATGATAATGTTGTGGCTTTTTTTGCTAAAGCGTCTGCCTTATTATTCCACTTATTGTTGCTATGACCCTTAATCTTTTAAAGTTCTAAAATGATATCTTTAGCTTTAACAAGATTAGCGATCTTGATTAAAATATCTCAGTTCTTCTCTTTGTAGACTTTATTGAATCTCCATTCTGTTTTTGTTTTGTTTATACTTGCAATTGCTGCTGCACTGTCTGAAAAAATACATACATTACCCCCTATTGGGATAGTAAAAAGAGCTAACCAGATTGCAATAAGCTTGGGCTTTGTTGATAACGGCCAATTAACTAATTTAGTATATCCCTCTCACAAGAACTGTACTTGCTCCTTATCTACTTGTACCCAACCAATTCCCATACTACTAATCTCTTCTTCTCGAATTAATGAACCATCTGTGTATATCCAAAACCTACTTCTACTACTACTATTATTAAAGTCTAAATTACTACTCAAATTATCATGTCAAAATTCTGATCCAAAATTAGCTGCTTGTCCAATGGTTCAATAAAGATTTTACTATTGAGTATTTCTTCTCCTTTTCTGAGTTTGAGCACAGTATATTTGATGGTTTTGTATAGAAGAATGTCTTTGTATCTAGGAATATACTTTTGATTGACCTTTTGCAGTGGTTTAGAGATCACTATGTATATACTACTTTGGCTAATTCATTTAAGCTCTTTATTCTGTTTCATTGAAAGTGCTTCACTAGGCTTTTCAATTTCTATATAACCTGGTAGCGTGTTGTTTTCTGAAGTTATCCAGTGTTCTGTCAAAACTTTGATTTTGCTTTTTTTAATAATCTTTCTCGTTTCTAAATTATCATTTTCCTTATCTATCAGAATCCATTCTTTTTTCCTTTTGTTAGAGAAGATTGATACAAGTGGCATCTTTTGTGCCAGATTATTCAGATCTGCAGCACGCTGAGTCACCTTGATTTCTTTATTTTCTTGGTCTTGTAGCAAGATCTTTTCTAATAATGCAAACTATGTAGCTTTTTTGCCTACTCTGGTTTTGCCTTTTGCTATTTTTGAGTTGCTACCAGGTTAGGAGTTTTTTTCCTTCCCTGTCTAAAAGCTGATCACAAAATATAATGCCAAGGTTGAGTATATTTTTTGCTGCTTTTATAAAAAGAGGAGGACTAATGAATTCTTTTATAAGTGAGCCCGAATTTTGAAAATATCATTGTTTTGTTATCCCTTAAACCGTTCAGCAAGCAAATTTGCTCGCTAAAATCTTTTTTTTTCTGATTTTGTACAATTGCGCCTAATTTTTCTAAGTAATAGTACCCTCTTTCCTAAGCTAGAATTAAAGTATAATATTATGCAGATCAACTTGTGATTTTATATTACGTGTTAGTACTGTGTTAGTTACACATGACGTTGTACAGAACAGCGATTATCTATGATCACCATCAATTAATCGTTACAAAAAATTAAAATCATTATTATAAAATTAAAAAAAAATAAAATAAATAAA